TCTTTTGAAGAGCTTTGAAAATGACCGTTAGTTTTATAGCTATAATTAGCGATAGTAGTTAAATTCAGTTAAACTTTCGTTATTCTCTGAGTTATCAACTTTGAACAGATTTTGTTTGGCAGGTAAATATGAGCATTGCTATACTTCCCATGTCAGCTGAATTCAATTGGAACCCAGCAACTGTTGGTCTAATACAGTCATCTTTTTTCTGGGGTTATCTCCTTACTCAGGAAATAAATTCTTTCTTTCTTTCTTTTCCTTTTTTTAATGGTTTGGTTATGATACGAAATTTTGGTTTCTGTTAATCTAAAGGATAATTTTTTTTTGGGTTTTTCTTGCTAATTTAGTTGTTGTTAATGACAGATTGCCGGTGGCATATGGGCAGACACTGTAGGTGGCAAGTCGGTGTTAGGATTTGGGGTAGTATGGTGGTCCATTGCTACAGCTCTTACTCCTGTTGCTGCTAAAATTGGTTTGCCATTCCTACTTGTCGTTCGTGCTTTCATGGGAATTGGCGAGGTTGGTTCTTTTATCAGTATGCTACCCAAAAAACAAATTAATTCAACAGCTTTTAAGACTCAAGAATACTTTGAAATTTTAGTATTCTTAGAAAACTACAAATATTTTGTCACCGTACAAGGCCAAACTATTGATTTAGTTTGATTCTGTTTTCAGGGTGTTGCTATGCCTGCCATGAATAATATTCTGTCCAAGTGGGTTCCTGTTGCCGAAAGGAGTAGATCACTAGCATTGGTGTATAGTGGAATGTATCTTGGCTCAGTTACTGGCCTGGCTTTTTCACCATTCTTGATACATCAGTTTGGATGGCCATCAGTGTTTTACTCCTTCGGTTCTCTAGGGACAGTCTGGTTTGCTTTATGGCTAAATAAGGTAAAATTGCACCCCTTATTTGTGGTATTGATTGACATGTTTCTTTACAAAGATTCTAAATAAATTACTATTATGTGTAAATGAAGCACTCATATTTTGAATGATCTTAAGTTTTAGTGTACATTTTTTGGATGAAGGCCTCAGTTGTTTGTCAACAAGGACGTTCTGATAGTGATAGGAGTGTTTGATTTTATTCAAAAATATCTGCTAATGTCATATATTTTTCTTCTTTTTTCTGTAGGCTCATAGTTCACCTCTTGAGGATCCTCAACTTCAGCCCCAGGAGAAGAAGCTTATTGTCACCAACAATATTACCAACGAGAAAGTTAAAACAATACCTTGGAGGTTAATCTTGTCAAAGCCACCTGTATGGGCCCTAATAGTGTCTCATTTCTGTCACAATTGGGGAACATTTATTCTTTTGACATGGATGCCAACATACTATCATCAAGTAAGTCATTTCATCCCTGAATGCACACTGCTCTATCATTCTTGCAACCATAGCATTCAAAATGCTTAGTAAGCTTCCTAAGGGTGGAAGAGTCAACAAAAACCGTAGATATTAAGTTCCTGGCAAACAATGGAAGTGAAGTGTCCTACAATGTCCCCTTATTTTGATAGCCCATGCCAATTTTTCATTTTGGAAAATAATGCGCTTTTTAATAGTTAAGGAAATTGTTATAACTCATCAGTTGGCTAAGAATCTAGCTGATGAATTCTGGCATTGTTATGTCTGAATTCGGATGATTCAGGACCATTTTCCCAAATTGTTGAGGTCTACTACCTTTCTTCCTTGACTACATTGTGGCTTGTTGTTGACCTTATTTCACCCAAAAACATTTTTTTTTCTCTGTTTCGACTTTCTAGAACTTGAAGCACTCACATGGTTATGTTCGGAGGCTTGTTCTAACAGTTGTTAAAAATGTTTCTCCTTCCCATCATCGTATTAAGAATTTATTTTTGTTATACATCCATAGGTCCTGAAGTTCAATCTCACAGAATCTGGGCTCTTCTGTGTTTTGCCCTGGCTGACAATGGCTTTTTCTGCGAATCTTGGAGGGTGGATTGCAGATACACTTGTGAGCAAAGGTTTATCTGTGACCACTGTTCGCAAGGTATTCTTAGTTTTCATTTTCCTTTAAAAAATTCTTAGAATGGCTGTTTTGCATTTTCATTGTTCTTTAATTAAGCAATTTTCTGTAAATATGCTTTCCTTCATATATACATTTATCAAGAGTGATGCACATCATGATTTTTTAATTTCAATGCACTAGCGACTTTGGTAAAGTTACAAATTCAATTCTTTCTTTCCCATGTCTCCTAGTGTATGTGCATATGTGCTCTTTCATCTTCTTCTTCCAAGTTCTCTGTTGCTAATGCTAAGTTGAATTTCTAAATTGAACAGTCTGTTTAAGTTTACTGAATATATCTTACTATGCATTACAGATCATGCAATCAATTGGATTTCTTGGCCCTGCTTTCTTCCTAACTCAGCTGAGCCATGTCAATTCTCCTGCTATGGCTGTTTTGTGTATGGCATGCAGTCAGGTTTGCTTCTTTCAACACTTTGAAACATAAAATCAGTATACCTCTAGCTCCAGTTAACATACCTTCTTTCGTACTCAAACTTCCACTCAATCACGGTAGCTGAGTTACTCTACCAACAATGTTTTAATTGATGGAACAGATATTTCATAGTGGGTGATCAGACCCCTCTCTCGAATTTTCTGTTCATTACTGAGTTTTGTCTGATCTCAAGGTTTATGACTTCTAGAATTTTAGATAGTTTGTAAATATTAAGCATAAAAAAAAAAATCAAAGTCGGGTATTTTTGTAAAATTCTTCTCTGTCCTATGTAAGTATGCTTATGGAGTTAGAAAATTTGGTATATGCAATTGGCACAGCTAATTCTAGTTTTGTTATCTTGAATAGGGAACGGACGCATTTTCACAGTCTGGCCTGTATTCAAATCATCAGGATATTGCTCCTCGATATTCCGTAAGTTTTTAGTTCGTTCAGTTTGTTCTCCAAAGCATACTTCAATATAAAAGGAAGCTTACAGGGATGAAGGGTGGCAAAATTTTGATTTGTGCTAATAATGTTTCACCTAACCACCGGTGTTTGTTGTCATGGCTTTTGACATGAGCGGGTTATATTGGACTGTTGATAATGCTTTTCTTCTTAACCTTGTTTGGAGAAGTGATGGTTTTCCCTTTTTTATTTTCTATTTATTCTCTGCAGGGGGTATTACTTGGTTTATCCAACACTGCTGGAGTACTGGCAGGGGTGTTTGGAACTGCGGCAACTGGTTACATTCTGCAACATGGTAAGAAGTCACTCCTTGATTTTTCTTGAGTGGTAATTAGCTTAATAGAAATATATGTTAGACCAGTTGAAACTAAATGGAAAATCAAATTTGATTCCTGGTTTATATTTATGAACTAGGGAAATGTGCCCAATTGAACTGAATCATGGCCTAAGGAATACAATTTGCTGAAAATATTTTAACTCACCTTTGGCTGTGGAAAGTTACCTACAGATGACATCCGAGAAAAAGCCAAGCGGGGGGAGTTGCTTCTGGTTAATAACTTTGCCCTTATGTTTGGTTAAGTTGGTCAATTTCATTTAAAACAGACATCAATGCGTATTTATAAAGAGAGTGAGAAAATAAAATTGTCTTTGTCAAAAACAGTGGGTTGGTTCGAATTTCAGGACACCTCCATCCAAAGCCTTCCTAATATGGTGACCATTGAATCCTGGTCCATGTGTATTAGCCTGTAGCACTTCATGTAGATTAAAGATTGCCCACAAAATCCTTTGATTTCATTGCCCCCTTTCCCCCCATAATTGAATCTTTACAATTGCTGATTCCTGGGCATTTTCCTTCATATTGAATTCTCAGGTTCTTGGGATGATGTGTTCAAGGTTTCAGTGGGCTATACTTGGGTGGAACTGTGGTTTGGAACCTCTTTTCAACTGGTGAGAAAATACTGGACTGACTCTCAGATATTCAGATGTTTAGCAAGAGGCACTCAAGCCCCCACGTGCCTGAGCTATTTGAGAGGGTTCAACTGATTGAATGAAGACAAAAGATGAAAAAGTATGAGTCAAATTTGGAGGAAAGGCAAAGTGTCCATTTCTGGACTTGAGCTACTGGCCATATTTTCTTAATGCCAGGCAAGGAGACCCAAAATTTGAAATCCAAAATTGTCAATGGCTCTAAATTGCAATTGTTGCAAGAGGTCTCATTGGAGGAAGAATTTATTTGTATAGCAAACACACCACAGCCTGTAATCCTTTAAATGCTATATTTAATCCTTAACAAATCAATTTTCTAATTTCATTGCCTTTTTTCTCTCAAACCCATTTTTTTTTTTGGTAGGTTCTCTCAATCACTTGGACAGAAGTGATTATGTACCACAAATACGCACATGCACAAACACCCACACACACATATATAAAACATGAAGAAACCAAAATCTTTTGCCCCTTGGGTTGGACTTTGTGATTCGTAAATGCTGAAAATTGAGAGTATAACTTTTATTGAAATTATAAAATAAGCATATGAAAACCCATATCAACTGATACGGATTATAAACATCACAAAGACATTTGAATGACTAAGTGTACCCTTAAGCAACTGTAATCAAATTCAACAACCCAAACAAACAATGTATGAAATTGTTAAGTAAAAACAAATCAAACTATATACCCCAAAGCCCAATTGAACCCCATGCCTTAATTTCCTGTATACCCGTAAGAGCAATACACAGTTGAGTTGCGAGTGTGAATGAACCAGATGTCAAAATCTTATGCTAGTGTACGGGGCTGCAAGTAACGCGAAGACCATTCTTCATGAACAGAGTGAGAGACATCTTTTGCTCAACCCTGTGTCCCGGAAGCAGCGAGAGCCGGTAACGCAGCAGAACTGCTGAGGCCAACAGACTTCATTTGCAAGTAAGCCAAGTCTTTCCCCAAACAAGTCCTTGGCCCAGCGTTGAATGCCACAAACTTGTAAGCATCCTTTGGTGGATCGAACTTGTCGCCTTCTGCAGATAGCCACCTTTCAGGCCTAAACTCCATGCAATCTTCTCCCCATATAGTCTTCATTCTTCCAACTGAATATATCGAATATGTCACAGTTGAGCCCGCGGGCACGAACGTGCCATCCGGTAAGACATCGTCTTGGACAACATACTTGAAGTCCTGAGGGACTGAGGGGTACAAGCGCAGTGTTTCAGCTAATGCTGCTTTCAGATATATCAATCTGTCTGCTTCATCAAACACCAGAGGTTCTTCAAGCCATTTTTTGTGGTCTGACCACGCGTGTCACAGAGAACCGTTGATATCTCGTTGATGATCTTTTGTTCAATCTCGGGATGGTTCATGATGAGCCAGAAGAACCAGCTGAGGGCTACAGAAGAGGTGTCTCGGCCAGCGAGGACAAAGTTTAGAGCAATGCGTTGGAGAACAGCGCTTGCGAAGAGATTGCCCCCAGCATCTCTTTTCTTCATGAAACGGGACAGTAAATCATCTGACGGAGATTCTTTTCGTGCTTCAATGGCATCGTTCAAGTAGTTTTCAACGATTTGGAGGCTACTCTGTAATCTTCTCTCTGCTCCAATCCCCAGGATCTTCTCCAATCTCCATACTAAACCAGGGTAAAGAAGCCTATAGAGAGTTGCTTCAGTGGCTGTGTCAAAAGCCATAGCAAATGGATTTTCAGGTAAGTCAGGAGAGAGTGTTTCTGGATCTTTACCAAAGGTAAGGCCGCAAATGTTGTCAAAGGTTAAGCGAAGCAACAAGTCTTGCAAGTCTACCCATTTCTTCTCATTGGATGCTTTGTCTAAAATGCACCATAGACGATTCTTGATAGTCCTATTCACCCACCGAGCCATGGCTTGCCTGAGTGTCCGGGTTGTGAACTCCAGCGCTGCTGTTTTCCTTTGAATGAGCCATGTCTCTCCATCGCTATTGAAGATCCCTTGCCCCAAAAGATCATGAAATGCAGCTTGCCAGTGAGGCCCTTTCGGGTAGTTATCGAACCGCGTGCGGAGAATGTGCTCAATGTTTTTGGGGTGACAAGTGACGGTGTAGAACCCTTGCTTCCAAGCCAAGCAAGGAAGAGCAATCGTACAGGTTTGATAGGTTGCTGAGCCACCTGTTGCTCGAAGGTTACTAGCAATCCAATCATGGATTCTCCTCCGGTTCATGACAAGATATGGTAGGCTACCGACTATCGGCCATACTCTTGGACCGGTTAACCTCCTGACTAGGAGATGGAACCAGAGTGCGTAAGCAAATACAGCAGCAGCTAGGCTGAAGACAAATGTAAGGGTCTCCATGGGAATTAGAGAAAGTTGGTGCTAATCAAGGTCTAATATTATTGCACGAGACAGTTTGATTTTGAGAGAGATTGATAACAATGGAGTTATATATAAAGTGATAAAATGAGAAAGGTTTAGGAAGAGTGGTTAGGAAATTTTAGTCCAAGGAGGGGTCGCTGTTGGGTTGATAGGAACTATGAGAGAGAATTTGCACGAAAGCCACGGCAAGCTTTTTCAGTAGGTGCCAAAGGCTTGCACTTGCTCCCATTAACTGAGACGTGTCCTTCTGAGTTATTAACTCAACTCTAATTGTTTAACTTTGCACTCTAATTAATCTATTTCATTCAATTGCCAGCCGGACTCGTAAACTTCTGGAAGAACTGCTATTTCAGATTTGTGAGCAGATGGTGTGTCTTCTGAATATCAGCATCGTATGATAGGAATAGTAATTAATCATGCCAAATTAACCTTCAATATAGGCAAATGAATTAATAGTTAATTTAGAGATGAATATATTAATTAGCTTTAATCATGTATAATGACGATAAGTGTTAATGTTTAGAAATTAACAGTTTAGTGTTGTGTTTTGTGTCATGGTCTCAAAAAGAAATTGTGAATCTTACATCAATAAAGTATGATTGAGTATTTAAATATTTACAAATGCTATTTACGAGATGAAATCATGAAACTCAATGAATTAAAATAAACAATACAAATTAGTGTGAATTGTGATAATATAAATCTCTTGTGGCTTATCTTTCTATGTTCCGAAACCTCTTCCCGAACCTGTCAACGATACCATCAAGTGCGTACAATGGAAATTTCACATGAAATATAGAGAACGCTTCTTCTTTGGGGGGTTAATATTGCACTTTCTTGAATGTAAGTTTGATAAAGAAAGTTAAGCCAATTGTTTTCCAGAAAACCAACAGCTCACTCTTTTACTTTTCTTGGAATCCTAGCTGACCCTATTCCAAAGAAAAACAGGAAGAGAGGTGGTTAGAGACAGTTTACCCGCATTGAGAAAATGGGTTTTTGGTTACAAAGCCTAGAGATAAAAGCCAAATCTAAAAGCACATGTTAAAAGAAAACCCAAGCTACAATTTGACTCCCTTTGAGTGAGTAGTTTCAAGAGAGGGGAAACTTTAAGAGAAAGAAATGTAAGGGCCTAAACGTTTCCTCTTTTTTAACCCTTTCCTTGAGGAGCTGGTCATCACACCAAACCCCTCGATATTTTCTTTTTCAGGGATTTTTACGTGATAATTAAATTTGTGAGTCAAATGCCATCGACCTTTGCTTTGTTATTTTAATGCTGTTTGTACCGTTCATGTCAATTTATTCTTGTCTAAGCTTACTGGTCTTTCAACAACAATCACAACTATACCCAATGAGTGCACCCGATATTGCACCATGACAAATTATTTTATTTTCTTACATATATGCCACTTCATGCACTGCGAAGAGGGAACTTGGCATTTGTTTTATGGATTAGCTGAAAAATATGACATCTTGGCTAGGTTGATAGTTATACCCTTTAAATTACTGATGATCCCATTATATACACACACACACACACACAAACTATGTCATATTGGTGTAATCACTGTCAATAATTTTACTACCAATTAATTAGTTGGTTAACGACCTTGTGATAAACATATATATATATATATATATATATATATCTTTGTGTTATATTATATATTATTTCCCTGCAACTTTTGGATGATTAACTGATAATAGGATAAAAGATGTAGAAGCTCAATGAGCTGGTGGGATTAATAGCGCAAGTTTCAGTTAAAAATTATGGGAGTTGACAATCAGATTTATTCTTGTTTGATATCTCATATATATATATATATGTGTGTGTGTGTGTGTGTTAGTTGTTCCAAGTAATGTTCTTCAATCCTTCACTTTTCGAATTTGTTTCAGATCAGACATGTTGTAGAAATCCATCCAATGAAAATTCTAATTCCAGTGGAATAGGATATATATACTCCATTGCCAATTTTATGCTTTATTTTTCCGTCTTTGTTTATATCCAACACATATTCGATAGATATAAATATAAGAGTTTGATTTTCTAAATGTATAAAAACCTTAAAGTATTCAAATTGAATACAAAATCGTATCTGAAATTGGGTAAGTTATTCAAATCTTAAGTTATAGAAACATTCATTTGGAAAGAATTATTTAAGGTACTTATTTCTTAACTAGGAGTAATCACCTTCTTAAGCAGAAGGCCGTTGCCCTCCCAACAATTAAAATAGGCCACTTGATTTAGTAACAAAACTTTGGATTAAACTCCCTTTGTCATGGACCATAATAAGATGCAGTGGCAGATTACAAAGTTCTTTTAAGTCAGAATTTGGTTAACCACCATGTATGTATTTTCTTTATTGTACAAGAGATGAGGCATGAACACACATGGGGGATTAAATTAATTACATAATCTTTTAACGATTGGGCTTTAAATTAACGTACAGGTATCTTCTTCCTTTCTTTTGTGTGAAGTATCATCAAAAGGAAAATATATATGTAGTGTGATTCCCAATCTTGGAAACAAGATTAATTTTCTCTTCTATTATTTTTGATGTCTAATTTTGACTATATAACGATAGAAACAAATGCAAATTTGATTTTGAAAATTCAAGTAAATTAAGTTTTGAAATCAACTAGTAGTTGAATGATATACGATACAAAAGATGTGATAGGTATCATGATGAAACATGACACAGAGATGAAGTGGTAATATACGCGGTTGGTGACGTGACAAACATGAAATAAAAAATGACATGGTAATACACGTGACAAGTGATATGGTAAACACGATACAAAAGATGACATAAAAATACACAAATCAAGTGACTTGGTGAAATACGACATAAACGATAACGTGACGAAACACGACATAAAAAATATTACATGGAAAAATATATGATAAGTGACGAAATATATCGCTAACAGATAATGTAACGGAACATATATTTCGTCAACAGATGATGTAGCAAAATACATCATAGAAAGTTGACACACAAATAATATTATAAGGACATGTGATAGTTAGTGTTAGATAAATTGCAATGGTGTAAAATATCAATACATCGAACAACTAGTGAGTGAAAAAAAGAGAAAAATTTCGATGTAAATAAAGCTAATCTTATTCATAATTTAACTCTAACTAATTAAATGTATATTGTAAGATAACTCTAACTAAACAATTTATATAATTATTTTAACAAAATTGATAAAGCTCTTTATAACTTATAAGTTCATCTACTCTCTCTTTCTGACGTAACATGATAACATTTCTACCCAATACATAGATTTGTGAAAATACTCCTGCCCTTCCTGCTTCAAAGGGAAAAAGAATAGAAAAAAAGAGTAACTCTAAGAAAAGATCAGCGTTTTTGGGTGGTGAGATGCGTTTGGACTCCAGTTTGGGTTGGTTGGAGATCTATCGGGCTAAGGCCCACATCAAACGAAGAGTGTTTGGGCCTTGTACAAGGAGATTTCGATTTGTTCCACTGGTAGCGGGCTCAGGCCCACATCAAATCGGAATTGAAAGATAAATGGCGTTTGGTTTTTGCATGGAAGGTTAGTAAAGTGCATAGGTTAGCATTTAGCCACGTATCAATCCCTATATCCATACGTGCTAAGATCAACTGTCATCGCTTATTTTTCCTCCTCTGAAAAATTGGAAAATCACAGAAACGAAAAAGAATTAAAATAAAATAATAAAAACCATTAAAAATCGAGCAATGAAGATAAGACACTTGTGGAGAGCTCGTGGTACAAACACTCCCCAATTCTTCCCACTCATCATCTCAAACACCATCCAACGGTCCAAAATTCAGTGCAAACACTATCCCCATAAAATATATTTCCACTGTACGTAGTCTACCTAGCTCCGGTGTCATTTCAAAAGAGCAAAGAAAGAAAACTTGTCTAAGCTTAAGTGACAATGGCTTCTCTGCTAATTTCCTTTGCTCCTTCAACTACAAGGGTTTTCGCTGCAACAGCGGCAAAAGGTGCAGGTGGAAGCAAAGAAGAGAAAGGGACTTTTGATTGGATTCTTGGGCAATTGCAGAAGGAGGAGCAGTTCTATGAAACTGATCCCATCCTCCAGAAAGTTGAAGGAAAGAATGGTGATGGCACTGCCAGTGGCCGCAAGAACTCTGTTTCTGTCCCACAGAAGAAGAAGGGTGGTGGCTTTGGGGGACTTTTCGCCAAGAAATGAAGTATAATCCGATCATCTGGGTGTCTCATTGGTTTGGAATTATTCCTGTTTTGTATCTTGTACTCTTGGAACCTTACTTGATTCTTGAGCACTAAGCTGTTATTAATTTCCTTAAATGCACACTGCTTTTTTCTCTATATATTCTATTAAATTATGGATTCATTTGAAGTTAGATGTTTGGATTAACTGATTCTTGGTAAGTTCACTGTTAAGAAATTAAAACTACTACCCAATAAATGAAAGTAAAGTGGCGGGCTTGGTTTTTAACGGAAGGCTCATCACACTTAAGGTCGTGAATTTATGTGCTTGTCCGCTTGAAAACCTTGGAATAAAATAAGGAACGTGAATAGCATATTTGATATACCGTATCTGATAAATTTGTCTGCGAAACAAAGTGAACTGTATATGGCAACGTTTCATGCAACAGTGATTAAACAGAAACTGGCTCTGTCTGTTGTATTGTTTTCTCGGAGAATGCAACTGTTAATTTTCTGTATGTGATTGAGAAATATCATGCATTAGCTCACTTTTTGTTGACACGTTGTTTTAACATTTCTCTAGTTGTCACAGAGGTGAAGATGACAGCTTCTAATGCATGAACCTGACAAAACCTAAAGGCAATGAACTTCGTGTCTGGTAGAAGTTTAACATTTGTATAGATGATGTTACAATAAATTAGAGTAGGAGAAACAGCCAGATTAGGCACTGGTTAGAGGAATTAAATAGAATAATTCTAGCCAATGGGAAATGGCAGATGCATGTCTGGATCAGCATCCAAGGAGATAGAAAAGATTAGCTCAAAAATAAATCATGGTTTGCTCTCTCTCTGAGTAATTCTTTATTTTTCTTTCAATCTTAAATATTTGACAAGCTATTTAGGCAACTACAAACATTGAACAAACAAAGATTTGGTAGGATCTTGTTATATTCAATTACATCCAGTACCTAACTCATTTCTGTCAGAGTGGACATAGTTAAACATCGGATTAGCTGGCATCTTGCTTTTAGAGACTATTTGTTTCAGAACAAGGCCAGTTCAAGCTAAAGAAACACAGTGTATGGCATAATAGAGAAGGATGAGAAATCCAAATTCCAACAAGACCTTGTTTAATCACAGGGTTCAAATCAAGCTTTGGTAGTGGACAGGATGGATAATGGGTGATTGTCGTGTGCCAATTGACAAACAATAAGGACGAATGTCACACTATTGGCATGTCAATTTTGGTCTTGCGCTGAAGAAAGCTAGGTATGCTCGGCCAATTCTATGTCAAAAAGATAAGAATTCTATTGCACACGCCCGATTTGGAGAACAATATCATGTGACTGCTTCAACTAAAGTCCTCAACAGTTTGTTGTGGTTTTCGTCCTCTTTGAAAGTTGCAATAACTTTACAAGAAACCTTTTTCGTAGAAATGTGCTCATATTCACCTTGGGAAATGTAAAAACAAATAGATTGAAGAACAAAATATGCACCTATGTCAAGGCTGGAAATGGACTGATATGGAAACCTATGAAACAAAGCAAGTTAGCTGGTAAGCCCTGTGGGAGATATGCATCCCAACAGAATGTCCGGTAGGCGAAATGAATCCGAAAGGATAACATAAGATACTTTCTTTCATAGGCAAACTAAGTAATGCTTTAATTTCATCATCTAAAGAAAAAGACAATGTACATATAAGCTATTACCATGCTTAATATTTTCAGCAAACTATTTTATGACCAAATATTACCATTAACTACAGAGCTCAATGAGAATTAGCAGAAACAGAATTTGATCTGGGCAAAGAAGCAGAAGAGTTGATAAATTCGATGCAGTCCTCGATGGCAGCACTCCTATGAGAATCAACAGGAGTTACAAATGGCTTTGATCTTCCTGATGAAGAAGAAACCTTAGGAGAAGGCCTAATTCTCATTGACACCACATGCAAACCTTTTGCCACTTTCCCACCAATATGCTTGAGAAATCTTACAGGTGAAAACTTAGATCTTTTACACAACATGAAGCCACAACTCCTGGTGACTCCCCTGTTCCTAGCAGCCTTGTTATCGGACTTCTGCATAACAGAAGCATTTGCCTTGTTGTTTCCCTTTTTCCTACTCACTTTGTTGCTCCCTTTAGTTGACATCTTCTGCATTTAGATGACCTTAGAGAGAGAGAGAGAGAGAGAGAGAGAGAGAGGTAGGGAGTGCGTAGCGGCAACAACTGAAGTCGCAGTGGATGGAAAATGAGGTGTGGATGGATGGGAGGGCTTGACAAATAAAAAAGGAGAGAATGCTGAAACAGTGGGCTAAAAAAGTTCAAGGCAAGGAGGGAAAAGTAATTAAAAAGAAAACAGAAAAATAAAATAGTTAAGATTAAATATAAGCCCACACTTCTCTCACGTATGTAAACTGAAAACAGGGTGACGTGGTTTTTGTAATCAAACCCAAATCATGGACTTACCTTGGGTAACTTTTCTTACAAGGGATACTATCTGTAGTTTGCTCTCTTTTCTTTTACATACCCTGCACTGCAAAGCATGATGATGTATGATCAAAGATAAAGAAATAAAGACTAAACGCCATTCAAGCAAATAATAAATAATATTTCAACCAGCATCTGAATTTGAGTTTGTAATCACTCGGGCTGGGGCAACTTTGAGTTAAAGAGAGAAGTTTGCAGGTTGCCACTTACTCTTTGGCTCAACTGTGAGAGGGTGTTTAGTCTAAGTTTCAAGACTTGCTTCTCTCTTTCTTATACAAAAGAAAAACGTAGTTCATTGCACTGTTTGGATTGATGGGATTAAGGGTCTCATACAAATTTTTTTATGGATCTTGGGCATGTATCAGGCGTCTGTTGTCAGGCAAAAACTTTTAGCAAAAGAGGGAGAAATGTCAACACTATCAGCTGGTTGCAAATGCATGTCATGATCTCCACAGCATTTAGTTAATGAATCAACTTACTCGTATGTCCATTTCTTTCAAACAACTTAAAGAATGCACCAGCATTTCGCATCAGGAATATATATATATATATATATATATATATATATAAAATGTTGTGTTATCATTCTTTTTTCGTTTTCAAAACGCTTGACATCATGACTAAGTTAGAAAGATGCCTCTCTCTGCAAGGCTACAAATGAAAGACGAAATGCTATCATTGTCGTCAGAATTTGGTGGGGGCCTGGAATTCTCATGTACACACGAGGGGCTATAGACTAGTACCAATATCAAAATCATATGTATCAGAAAAAGATGCTCAAAGAAGTTGGCAAGAAGCCTTTAGAGAGGAGGAAAAGGACAAAAAAAATAAAACAAGGCATAGTTTTCTTTGATTTCTCCCAGTGCTCTCTTCCTTCGGAATCTCTAAAGCAGAGGGTCCATTGAGAGAAAGAGGTCGCCTGATTTAAGCTGAATATATATATTCTAGGATTTTCATTAAGTTTAATCTCTCTCCTTTAGAAAAGAAGGTATAGATGAGGTAAACTTTCGGTAAAATCTGCTTTGATCATAAATAAGATCAAAAAACTTTTTCACTTTATCCTTCGATCATATTCAGTATGGAAGCAACAGATTCCCCTGCTTTTTTCTGTTGCTTGCTCAGGAGAAAAGGGTTGGAGGTTGGTATTTTCCATTTATTTGATTGACCAAAAAGTAAAGAAAAATAAATGTCAAAGGTGGTTCGAAGTTAAAAGTAACAAGTCAGAGAAAACCAGGTATGCTAAAGACATGCAGGTCTCAATTTCCTAACCTCTCCCCCAAATCCCAAGACTGGAGATACCTATTCATTAAGACTAAAAACAAGATTAGTACAGGATAAATTATGATTAGACATGACAAAAGATGCAATGAATGATTAACCATGTAAAATTAGTATGTCTAAAAGCCAAAAGAAAAATTACAAATACAACTGTATCTGCACCCTGTGGTTGAGTAGTGGTAAGTGTTTATTGGTGTCAAAATCACAATCAATTGATAGAGTGGAAGAAATTTTCATTTTTCAGTGCAAAAGTTGGATGACAAAACCATCCATTGTACTAAGGATTACCAAGCCTGATTGAGTTCAAGACAAAGGACCTAAAATGACAGTCTACCAAATGGGTAAATGCTCAGCCGAAAGCTGGACTCACTCATAGCTGCTTCCTACTCTGTTTTCTTTCAACCTTTTCTCTGATATATGCTGTCTGGAATTCAGAATTATCTAATTAAGCCAAGTTGCTACTAATTGCAGTATATTGATTCAAGCCATTCAGTTACCATGCATAAAGAGTATTAGGTTATTTGTGAAGACTGAAGTAGTGTTTTTGTTAGTGCTGAATGAAAAACTGAAACTCAAACCAAAATAAGCCAGCAATTCTTAGGCTAACTTGACACATGAATAGGAAGATCCTCTCAGGTCTTTTTAGTGATTACCAAACCAGGTTTACTCAAGAAGAGGTGTAGCTTTGTCTAGAGATCGATGGTCATTTCTAAAAATCGTGTGATGACAGAGAAAAAGAAGGTTCTGAACAACTCAAACAAGTGAACACCAGTCTATGCTCATCCCAACTCTTTCCCTCTCTAGCCACTTGCAATAAATCTAACTGTGCGGTAACTACTGCAACTACCAAATACCAATAGACCAATGCTCAAGAACATGAGGAAACCAGATCTCAACTGCTATGATTAAGATGACTAGAGGCTGAAAGTCCTTGTATTGGGGATTCTACGTTAACCAGAAAAGGGCAGGCATATGAGTACACACATTAAAGACTCTGGCTGGATTTAAAACGTATACCATATAACCTACATGATTACTACATTCATAATGAATTTAAATATAGTACAGCTTTCTTTCATTTCATTTTAATTTTGGTTGGCAAGCAAGCAAATCTAAGTACTCTTTTTCTATTTCAATTGGTATCATGGATTAAAGAAGTTTGTTGGCAAACACCTGTCAGAATCGTAGCTCTTATACAGCTAGCAGAGAACCAAACAATCATGTATAAGCCACATTCAGATACAGTTAGCAAACTAAAAACGAAGCACAGTCAAGTAGTCAAATTCCAGCTGATTTGAGCTTCTGTAATGTAATCTTCAACTGTTTACTTTGAGGCTACCAAAGTATACAGCAGTAGCTTTTTGCCATTTTCCCCTGTTATCTGTGCAATATGTTCCATGCTTTTAACCAGAATTTTATTCCCAAATTGTCACACAATTCACACAAGATTTTTGATAGAAAAAAAGCAGAAAATAGTATTTCAGAGAGAAGAGTTGGAGTAGATAACCAAAACCAAGTTTTAGAGTGTGCCAACATTCATCCTCTGCTCCTGTATACAGCTTATCATTTAGCATCAGAACTTAAGATCATGGTCAAACATGCTTCAAAGACAAATATATAAATGCAAAACCCCCCTCCGATACAGTCTTACCATTTCCTCAAACTAAATGTTCCAAAACCAAACACTCCTTAGTCATCACCGTCAGTTTCTCAACAAGAAAGATAAACAGATCAATAAAAGTCGATGGATTGAGTTCTTCAATTATCTGCATCTTAATCTTTCACAAGTACAGAGAATTTAGAGCTTTTCAATATACACAATCCTGTAATTGATATGAGAAAAGAAAACTCACTCTCTATCATTTTTTACAAGCAAAAGCTGTCCATCATGAGTAATGATATAATCCAAGAAATCCTTAACTTCTCCAGAATCCTTAAGACACTGAGGTGCATCAAGATCACTATCCAAATTATACCAAACCCCATCAATATTTCTCAATGCAATCCAATGCCTACTTTTCCAAAGCCCAGCATACCGTCTAACCGGAACATTAATCACAATTCCCATCAAAATTTCATCATTAAGATCTATAGCTGATGCTCCATTTCGACGATCATGCCAACTTACAGTCTTCCCTTTCCCTTCAAGTGCAGCAATTAAAACATTTATATCATAGTTTCCAGTAATTGAATTATGGTGAGGCTTGAAGACTAATGAAAAGGGTGTCCAAATTTCCTTGTTTGGGTCATCAAGAACGAGTTTTTCAGCAACGGAATTCAAGCTTGCTCGAGTAAATGCATCCTTTTGCTGAAGTATAACAAAATATTACAAATTATTAACGAAACCTATATACAACAACATACTAGAAAAGAAAGAAAGCGAGAAAGAAAGAGAGAGAAGGAACCTGGAAGAGATTGTTAAGGGAATGTAAGAGGCAATATTGTAATCTTTGCCTTTCGTGATAGATTTGGTTCTGCTCGCTTGCCATGAACCAAAGGCTGTGGAAATTTGATTATTGCAAAGGGACCCAATAGCTGATTTGCTCGTCAAATCCAAAGATTCTTGATTTCGATCCGAGGCTCAACTTTGTCCGCTAGGCTGCTCGTTTTGCCGATCTTAAAACAGGCAAAATATTTTTAAAAAAAAGAAAGAAAAACCAGTGTTCTTTGTTATCGAGAGTTTTCCATTTCCACCACCGCCTTCTGGCCGGGTGTCTGGGTGATCGTGCCTGCGTGATACTGTGCAACTGGAAGCATAAGCCCCAAGTAAAACCTTATGCGCTCGGCTAATTATTTTGAATTTGGTTAAATTTGCAAAGTAAAAAATTATTATAATGTCGATCTAATATATTATGTTAAAATATATTATTTAAGTCATTGTAACTTTAATCATAAAGGAACTGTTTGAAGTACAAGAAATGAAAATATGTAATTCACACATAACATGAATTTAATTTTTTTTTTATTTAGGAAAAATAGATTTGACCTGTTGTTTCTTTGAAAATGGAAAACTAACCACCTGAGCTTGGCTGGCAGCTGAAATAAATATCTCAGGTTTGAAGTTCCAACTACGCTGTTGCACGAACAAGCATTTCCCTTTTTAGTTGCAACTATGGAACTAAGTCATGGAAACTTGGAAGATATAGAGCAGATATAGAAAAATATAGACATATCCCTGTAGCTACGTTATGTCTACCTTGTAGCTATGCCTTTGCCCCATTTTCACTCAACAGATACAGACCATAACCTTAACTCACTCACTGCTTAATAGCAAACAACCCTTTGCATATTTATCTATTATCAATTAATCTCAACTTAATTGTAAATAAAAACAATACATAAAATCACAAGCTTTGCTTATTTTTGTACTCAAAAGGAACCATAAAAATACATTAAATCCACAAAATTTGCCACTCTTTTTACCCACCCGATGTTTACTCGAAAGAGTGTGGAAGTGTTTTGGCGACAAAAATTTAGAATCCAGGCAGAACTGAAAGATGTACTACACCATTTGGGAGGGTTGCAATTTTCTTAAACAAAGAAAGCTGTTCTTTCTAATTGTTTCATCGTCCTGCACATAGAAGTCATATTAGTAAATCATTTTCAATTGGGATGGGGCCGAAGAACTTGTGGAACTCAAATATAGAGAGATAAATAATTGATTTGATACAATTTTAATTGATACCCTAGGCTGCTCACACTTGCTTGAGTTTATCAAGCAACTTGACTTGAGCTTAAAAGTTGAGCTCAGACGAAGTTATTTTGTTTTAGGCTTACTTTCTTTGTTTGTTTGTTTTTTTTTTAAAAGTTGTTTTAAAGAAAATAAGCTTTGGTTAACAGTTTACCTTGAATTTGTGTATAAAACTTACAATTTTATATAATAAAGCAAAATAAAACTCCAAATCTTCATTTGAAATACCATTAAAGAATTTAAAAGTTGAAATCACAAATATACCTAAGACTAAGAGTTAAGAACAGAAAAGCATTTTTGCCAATAATAAGAAAAAGTCATTATCAGATCATTTAGTCCCATTGAACAAGCTTACAAGCAAGTTCATGGAACCATGTTAAACAAGCTGATGAATATATTAATTAATTTTATTAATGAGCCATAAATTATTAACGATGCAAAGACAATATACCGCCATCACAAACACTTGATTTAAATAAAAATCCTCAAGGGGTTGTATGGCTCTGACAATATTTTAATGAAATCATCAACCTTAGTACCGGCATAATCAGAAAAGTTAGATTTCAGGGTTAACTAGGAACAGTGTTAATCAAACAAATTATATCAAAGTACCATTTTTCCTGCAAAAGACAATAACTCAACAGCACCAGCCGACTGATAATAAACTAAGAATCCACTAGGGTGAATTTTGTTTTTAACAAACAAGAAAGTGGTCCTGCAAAGCTCTCTCTTCGTTTGTTTTCAAATGCAGCATCATCCACCTAATATTATTAAATCAAAACACCATGAGAAGAGATTCCAAAATTTGTAAGTGATGCATCTCTATAATAAATCAAAGAATATAACAATTTTTCATATCTCAATGTCCAACAAGAAAATGATATTCTAAACTAACTAGAAATCTTACCAAGACTGAACAGCATATTCAGTTTTCAGTCAAAGACTTTAATACAGAATTGACTATCAAACAAAAGGGTATGAGCTAAATGCTCAAATATCAAGTGTAAGCTACTGGGTACTTCTTTAGTACTAAAGGGAGTAATAGTACCTCCATATCAGCATCCACATACTTTCCATGGACAATTCTAGTTGGACGAGAATATGCTTCCACAAGCTTGGGAAAAGATTGCTTTCGACAAGGCTTCCATTTGCATTCATTTATTTTTATATGCTATCATATATCATTTGAGGATACTGGACATCGATGAGAAATTGAAAGCAAACGAAAAGGGAAAAATATTCATCTTTTATCTAAACATGTAGAAAAAAAAAAAAAGACTCTTTAAAATAAATCATTCAGCAGCTCCCAAGCAAAGAAAGAAAGGAAAAATACAAAAATCCATGAGACTCAAGCATAAAACATTCAAATTAGAAAATATCCATCAGTGTAGGCATTCATCATTCGAGATGTCTTAGATTCAGCAACAGGGTAGCCCATCTTCTATGCAGAAAGCAAACTTTTTATCAAAAACATATCCATCCATGTCATGCACAAAGATATAAAGTGAGAATAGCCTGCAGCAAGGATGTCCAGAATATTATTGCCTAAACAATCACAAGCCTTTTGCGTCCACTAACAAATGTCTTCACGATCAAGGCAATCCCCTTTTGGTATTGACATGAACATTTCTTGGGTGTTCTTCAGTCAGTGAATTCACCAAGATATACTTTCTATTATGGCCCAGGACACAGTGTCAGTCATGAGTTGAGGACCAACAATAAGGAAACTCCATTTCTGACAAAACTATAATGGATAGATATAGCCATTGTATAGAGACATAAGAAATGAATACCTAAGACGAATAGCAACTGAGTGCACTTACTTTACATGTTAGCTTTTGTCTTCCCTTTTGGTTGTAAATGGTCTGTACAGATGACTGATGATTAGACCTTAAGGTGGCTAGGACATGTCAATGAAAGTGTGTGTATCTTGATCTCTTATGCAACCGTAAGGTGACTCGGTCACAAATTATAACCTTGTTTTTTGAACCAACCAGAATGTGGTTGGCCTCTGTTTTCCATTGTTATTATGAAATGGAAATTATAGTTGCCTTGGCTTTTCAAAAAATGAAAAAAAACCTACAGCTAGAAATACACCCTATCTGCATAAAATTCGCCAATGGCACTGATAATATTCATAACTTCCACACAGCAAGGAATACAACACAATCCAAGGGTGAAACAAATAGCCTGACTTTAATATCATCCCTACTCTTTCGTTCACTAAATTTGGAAGCATTCCACACAAAAAAAAAAAAAAAGAAGAAGCAAAAGAAATCTTTAATGGAAAAAGATTCATAACCTCTACACTAAGTTTTTTGTATTTCCCTGAACACCACAAGTGGTTCTCATCTTAAGGTAAGCAATCAAATCCATCATGAGTTTCAAATTCTTCACCTTGACAAAAATGCTTTTGAAAATTTTTTTATGTGCCAATGAAACAACTCCTTTTGCTCATAATTAAAAATAAAAAATTCTCAATCAACACCATTGTACCTTAATGTACAATCGAAATATCAAATAAACACAACGAGCTATATGTTTACATAATCACCTTTGTGCCTTTATTATATTATAGGAATGTCATATTAAATAGATTAAATATTTGGACCATTATATCTTAATATATAATAGAAATGCCATAGCCACATACTTGCACCTTAAAGTTTTTCTGTTTCTCCAAATACCATTATGTGGTTCTTACAATAACGTAACCAACCAACCAAATCCATCATGAGTATGAAACAACTCCATGTGATCACGATTAAAAATAAAGAATTATCACTTCACACCATTGTACCTTAATGTAAAATTGAAATGTTAAATTAACAAATAAAAGTACATGTTCATATAAGCACTATTGTGCCTTTATTACACAATAGGAATGCCGTGTTAAACATATTCAATATGTATTTTGCACCATAATACCTTCAATTAAATCATAAGAATAACAAGATAAGATTCACATATTGCCACCATTATATCTAATGTGTAATAGGAATGCCATATGCCCACACCCTTAAAATATATTTTATTTCTCTAACAACACAAAGTGGTTCTCACCTTAACTAACCACACAAATTCATCATGAGTTCAAATTCTTCTCTTTAAAAAAATTATGAAAAACTCATTTTGCTCATGATTAAAAATAAGATATTCTCAATTGATACCATTGTACCTTAATGTACAATTGGAGTGCCAAATTAACACATCAAGCTATATGTTCATATATGCATCATTGTGCCTTTATCAAACAATAGGAATGTTATGTCAAATATATTAAATATCTAATTTGCACTATTATACTTTAATATTTAATAAGAGTGCCTTATGCCAAACACCACAAAGTATAATAAAATATTTAAATATAAATGTAATTGGATATTCAACCTTTATTATATAATAGGAATGCAATTTCTAATATATTAAATATCTATTTTGCACCAAACTACCTTACATTAAATACTAAGAATGCACCATATAACAAGATATCTTATTAATATATTGACACCATTATACCTTAATATATAATAAAAATGTCACATGCCCAAACCTCAAAGTTCTTTTATTTTCTAAATACTACAAAATGGTTCTCCCCTTAAGGTAACCAATCAAATCCATCTGACTTTCAAATTCTTCTCTTTGACAAAAATACGTTTGAAATTTTATCGTGTCCCAATGAAACAACTCCTCTTGTTCATAATTAAAAATAAGAAATTTTCAATAAACACCATTGTACCTTAATGTACAATCAGAATATCAAATAAACAAATCAAGCTATAAGTTCAGATGAGAACCATTGTGCCTTTATTACACAATAAGAATGCAATTTAATTAAATTAAATATCTATTTGCACCATTATACCTTCAACTTTATAAAATAGGAAAGTATCATATAATAGGAATGCCAAATACACACATCAAGTTACATGTTCACATAAGCACCATTATGCCTTTATTACACAATAGGAATGCAACTCAATTAAATTAAATATCTATTTGCACCATTATAACTTCAATTGTAAAATAGGAAAGTACCATATAATAAGATGCTAGATTCACATATTGACATCATTATACCTTAATATATTATAACAATGTCACATGCCTACAACTTAAAGTTTTCCTATTTCTCCAAGTACCACTAAAGGGTTCACACCATAAGGTAACCAATCAACCAAATCCATCATGAGTATGAACAATTCCATGTGATCATGATTAAAAGAAAAAAGAAATTTTCCTGCCCTTGC